CCATTTCATCATTCATCTTTACATTCTGTAACTCTATCCACTTAACCCTTGGTCATTAATTCCTTCAATGTAACTCTCTTCCATGAAATTTAGCCAACATTACATTTTCTTCAATGAAACACTAATCATTTATATGTAAAACTCTTTATTTAATAAAACATCGAATTATTTATTTGCATTTGAAGCACTTTTTAATTAATTTCACATAACCTTCATTTATAAGAAACCTGTGCATTATATTATATTATAGCAAATTGTAGCATTACAATCCTGCATGCGTTCTATACAACTTGATTCCATTCAGCGTCAAATGAATATATGTGTGCAAGATGTTTATATACTTTATGTATTTATTATATTATAAACTCAACATTATCAAATTTATTTATTTCTGATAATAACAGTTTCCTTTTCAAATTCGCAGCAAGTTGCCTTTTATCGACGTTTAGAGCTCATTCAATAACAAAATATTTCTTTGAATATGAAAACTTCTTGCGAGGAACTTCAATGAACTAAGAGTCACTCGAAAAGTTTTCAAACTTTAATTACATTTGTCTGTCCATTGGCCACAAACACTCTCTCGAACACACTCACGCACACACACACTCGTGCGGAGCAAAGTGCAAAGTTCTTAAGTTCAATTCGATTTGAATCCCTTCCCTCCCTGACAAGCGGCCTATCGAGTGTAACATCGTCACAGTTCTATCGTTTACAAACTGTAGTTCATTTTTTTTCGAAACTCATTTCCACCCAAAAGTTCAAATAACATTTCCGAAAACCATTTAGATGTTTTTGATAATTGTTACAACAGCCCGCACCACATGGCTTCGCCCTCCCCTGAGCTCCTAGTCCCAGGCCCCTGCCTCCTGGCCCTTGGCCCTTTGCACCCGCCTCCTGCTGGTGTAAATGACCCACATGGAGTCATTTGCAACGCATTCCTGTCCACCTAATGATCTACGCAGCTCTCTCACACAAATTATGATGGTTATCTCACTCTCTCTTTCCCCCTCTCTCTCATTCTCTATCTAACAATTTTCAGAGCGATCGCAACTCACAAATTCAATTAGATTTTATTGATGATTGATTTTATTTTGTGTATAGCGTGTGTTTGTGTGTGTGTGTGTGTGTGTCTGAGGCTGTTCATGTGTGTGTCTGTGTGTGCTTATTTCATCTATATATGTAATTGTCTTTAATTCAATTAGGCGCAGAGAACTTGTGAGAAGAGAACTTCAATTGTCTTGGCTCTGCCGTGGAAAACCTCACTTATGGAAAATTACAATTTATGACTTGGAATTTGCGTAGCTTAGACAGTTTCGCTCAGACTTGTATACAAAGAAATGGATCTATATGTATATGCGTGCTTACATAAATGTGTATATACATATATGTACCTTCATTTATCTGATATTTATTGGCTATATTTCCGCTGCTTAGTTATGTATGCGCAATCACACAGGCAAACAAACAAAATACACTCGAAACACTCACGGCCCTAGCTTATTGATACACACAACTATATAGGGTATTTGTGTCTCTTTCTGGCCTGGCCAGCGTATAGATATCTCGCTCTGCTGTCATCATAAAGCAAATAAAATTGGAAATATTCATATGACTGCCAGGCTCATGTTATCTGTCTGTGTCTCTCTCCTTCTCCCTCCCTCCCTCTCTTTCCGACTCTTTCTATCGCTTGTTTTGCGTGAAAAAAGATATTTTATCGATATTGTAAGCAAAACATCGTTAGCGGTATACATACATATATGTATATACATAGTAGGGGAGAGGCGAGGAGAGAGTAATATCTAGAGAAAGGAAAATGAGCTTCATTTGGGTTCTGGCCAGTACCCAGTGGCGGGTTTCACTCGGCAATTGCTTGCCTCATTCATAACTCAAGCATCGATCACATGCTTCACAGGTCCCGCAAACGTATCTGTATCTGTATGCGAATCTTTATATGTATCTGTGGCTGCATCTGCACTTGTATCTGTAGCTGTATCTGCATCTGTGTCTGTGCAAGTGCTAGTTACTATATCTGCTAAATTGCTGGCGTTGCTCGCTTAGCATTCCAGCAGCGCAGACGAGGGGCAGCAGAGAGAACTGCGAGAACTCGACTCATTGCACGAGCTGTGAGCTGTGACTTTGCCCAAAGTTTCAAGTGCTGCCCTCACAGTCATTGCTATGCTTCGAGCTTATTGTTTAACGTCTCTACGTCTCCCTCTTTCTTTGTCTCTCTCTCGCTTTGCACGGTCTGTACTGAGTCGACAGAGTCTTATATAAAGCCAAAGCCCCATACAAACAACATTTGAGCGCTCAGTTCATTTTAATTGACATCGATAATTAAAAACTATTTTCTGCTTAAGTTTTGTTCCGCTTCGCATTTTGTGTTTCTCTTCTTCTTTTTTGCATATGCTGTCAGCATAGTGCTGTCTTTCTCCAACGCAGAGACTTCAAGCAGCTGTCACTCATGGCTTCTTCAGATAACGGAGGGCATATCTTGACTTAACCCATAGCGCGGCCTGCCACCAATTAGCTACCAATTAATAAAGTTTTACCACCTGCTCGGTCATATCTTAAAGTGAGTGAATTTATATAATAGCTCAATCAGTGCCCAAGTCTTTGCCTTGATTGCGGCGCCGCTTTCCAGAGAACTTCTTTCCCTTTTAAGTAGTCTCTCAACAGGTAGTTAGTCAATAAATGTCTAACTCGCTTACACTCTCTCTCCGTCTCTCTCTCTCTCTCTCCCTCTGCCTTATCGTTGCGCTAGCACGCGCTTTAATTGAATTGTTCACATTGCACATGTAGTTAGGTTTTATCACTCGCCATGACCGAAAGTTGTTCCGGTTAGAAATTCTAGACTATGCGACACACAAATGTATGCATGTATACATATAGACTATATCATATTATGTATGTACGCATTTCTTATCGAAAGCTATGTAGCATTATATAATTGGAATGAGTTACGTATGCCCTATAAAACAATTACAAACATATGTACATATATTCGAGTATATATATTAATTGTAATCTGGAATCTCAAGCTTTCAGGATCTATTAGTTCAGATATACTAAATACATGAATTCAATGTTTAAGTTTTTAGACATATCTCTGGTTACAAAAAAGTAATAAAATATATAAAACCAACCAAATTATATACAAGATATATTATATATTGTTTTGTATAATTATTATATGTTCGTTAC